GCTCACACAAGCAAGTTAAAGCGTATGTTCAAATACCTTTGACTCATTTATCCGATATGTTTACAACTTAATTCTACATTTAAATGGGAAGTCTGACTTACAATCATTTATGTATTAACCTACCGTTCGAGATTCAACAAAATGGTGTTCCTCACATCAGGGGGGGAGGTTGGGAGGGACAAGGGGAGTTTTACATTTTTTTATCAAAGATTTTATGGTCACAAGTACCATGTTTTTCATTGTTGTTTTCAGGGACATGTATGTTTCGTTTGGTGGACTTCTTATGATGCTTAAAGGGGACCCTTCAATTGCAGCAAGATTCGAGCTCGACCAAAGACTGTTTATTCTCATAAGGAAGGTTTGAAATCCGATTCCAACTTAAGCAAAGAATTTACTAGTCGACTGTCAAAAAGTTTCCTGCTAGAAATTCATCTATGTATTTCGTTGATGCCTGCTGAGATGACGAATATAGTTCCTTTGAAGAAATTTAAATATGTATGGTATCATAGTTGTTGCTCTTAGTTGACAATATGCTATCCATATCTTATAGGGCGTTGCTTATTTCGCCCCTTCTTTTGCTAATGCATGTTATTTATTCTCCTTACTACACGGTCTTGATATTAAATTGACATCTTTTTTAAAAAAAAAAAAATTTCCCATTATGTTACATTGAATTGAATGGTACCACAGAAAAGCTGCATCTACTTATTTTTGTGACGAAATGACTATTATCTTAACAAAATGTACATTAAATATTATATTTAGAAGTTCGTACTTGTAAAATGAGTAAAGTAGGGATGTGCTCCATAACTTTTGATCTGGTGTGTTTATGAATTTTCAACCTTCAAAAGTCAGATTCTATGTCCCAAATTTCTTTAAATATGCGTCCCCACGTGAGTGAATTGACAATGTAGATGCTAAATAGTGAATTTTAAATAAGTTAAAGTTACAGAATACACACAGTGGTGAAGTCACTCCCATAAAATATTTACATGGGACCCACCTCCAAGTGATTGTCGTGTAGAACATTTGTGAAATTATTTCTTGTACACGGGGAATAATTCTATTACTTTACATCAAATTAGGTTTAGCATTTAGATTGACCATTTTTGTGTCATGTGGATCTAAATTCACATATTTGGAAGTGTGATCATAATTGAGCATGATAGGTTCGGGAGGGTTATTTTAATATTCTTTTATAAATTTTTTTAATTAATGTTGAAAAATTTTAGCACCACAAAAAAAGTATTAAAAACAAAAGAAATACCAGCAAAATTTTGATATAACTTTGAAATTTCAATAACAAACAAACGGGGTGCGGTCAAAACTTTTGCGAGATCTTCACAATGGTCAAAGGGAAAATAATCAAGAAAAGTTCCCGTGATTAGCGTAATAATATTTTTTTCTTTTTTCTTTTCAATATTCTTTATTACATTTTTATCATATTTTTTTTATCGACAATTTTTTTAATCGTATATTTTCTTTCTACCATTAGTTGGTTTAATCGACATAAAATTATTTTTTGTACAATTGAGATTGACAATGCACTCACAGGAGGGGGCACCAACGATTTTTTTATTCAACGTGGGCCCCCTTCTATGTGTCTAATTGTCAATGGGGTTGTCAACTTTGATTGTACACATAACACAATTGAATCACACCCAAATCGGGGTCACCACCACCTAGGACATAATCCGAATCCCATGACACCTTCTAAATTTCTATTTGACCCTTAATTTTTAAAATTTATTTTAATTACACGATCTTTCAATAAAATAATTTTAGATGTATTTTTTACCAATAAAATTCTACTATTAGCGATAAACTTCCAAGTTCAATGTAAAGATTTTGGCTAGCCGGTCAATTCAAAATTTCCTAATATTAGACTTGGACAAAATATCATCTCATGTTCCAAAACTACCTTTTCCCATTCAAAGTCCAACAATGACATATCTGCATTCCACATGTAGTAATTGATGAGGTCATTTTTGGAATTTCACAATACTTGAAGCTCATACTTGTTGACATATTCCAAATACATGTAAAATATATCATATGGCATGACTTATTCCAACTTGTGAATTGAGTTGGTCAACACGTAACATTTGATTCAACTCAAAAAATGCCACCCACTCCCAATATAAATACACTATGAATCCATGCATAGTTTGCCACACTCAATACAAAGCTTGAAACGCAATATTCTTTTTATTCTCTCAATCTCCTTTAGAAGAACCCTTGCTTTCTTTCACAGGCATTTAACATCAATTTTCAAAGATGAATTCTAGAAGTGTGTCTACTTTCTTGATAATTTTCGTGATTTTTGTTGCTATCACTAGTCAGATTCAAGTCGAGGGAGCAAGGATTTTGTCTGAGGATTTTTCGAGTTCAAATCACCTTGCTAAGTTCCCGATAATATATGAGAAGGCAAAAGATACCATGTCATTTTGGCTCGAGAAATTGGCATCTGGACCTAGCCCTAAAGGACCCGGGCACTAAGTTGAAGAACTTTTTTGGGTCGTCTAAGCCATGACATGACGTAAAGAGAAAAAATATGTCAACATAGATATTAATGTTTGTAGCTAGGGCATATGATTCTTTATTTTCTTTCACTTATTCCATTCATCAATTTTTTTCTTTCTTTTTTAGTTTTGTCATTGACACAACCAAAATATAGAAATGTATACGAATTCATAGAATTTTATTGGCTTTATCGCATGTTCGATGCTTACGCTCTTACTATATTTTAATCGTGTTACTTGGAAAATAAATAAGTTTTTTCCCCTTTTCGAGGGCTGCGTAATTTGAATTCACTATTGTTGCGGAGGTGATGGATAGGTAGGCTCATGGTCTGTATAATTCTAATCGCTTTTGTCTTCAAACTTATAGTGGACCCCTTAAATCCTAAGCTCCCCCTTAGATAGTTTAGGTCCTTTTGACAAAATCTTTTAGTTTTACGAATACAAGACGAAGAAAACTCAAACAATAGTCAAGAATGGAAATATTTAGAGGCATAATTTTTTCTAATCAAACTCTATTATCTAATCTAGAGAATTTTTCTAAGGTCAACTAATATCAAGGTTGATATGTTCCATAATCGTAATCACTACTCTACAATTATATAATTTCATAAAATTAATGTTCTAATAATTGACGATATCCATAACGAGTTTTTCATAATTTACATATGTTCATATAATCAGAAATTATATCCATATTTTGGTACGTCACTATTATTAGAAAATTTATGATTACTATTTCGTATAATAAGCTAATTAATATAAAAAAGCAATACACATAAAGTGAAAATTTATGATCTCATGCATATTCATACTTATTCACATAATATTAAATAATAACTGTCATATTTTTCTACATGATTCAAGGAAATCTACGCTTGGAAATTGGCGCAGCATAGACATAATCCTTCACGGCTTTCTATTGCGTCACCTAGGATTCTAACCTAAGAGGCCTAATAAAAGATTTAAGTTGAATCTTGGTTCTGATTGAACAAGTTATCCAGTTGGTATCAGGATTCAACTTAAGTTTCTCGTTGGGCAGAGAACTTGAGTCCGAATCTTGGGGAACACAATAGAAAGTTGTGAAGGTTTAAGTGGATCTATCCATCCAAAATAGAGAGTACGTATGATATAGTAGTTTGGGTATAGAGGCCAAGTTCTTACATCTATAGTAATGACTAGATACAAATCTTCTCCTCATGAAAGCCTTTAATTCATCCCATGTTTCTATAGTCTCTCATGATTTCTTCTTCTATTTGTCATCAATCGATCCTACCATATTATTGCATATCAGTAAATTCTATTACTGCTAGTTTCACCTTGTTCTCATCAGAATAATTGTCATTCAAAGATCAACTTAAACTTCTTCATCAACTGCAAATAAACTTCAAGGTAGTTTCTACCTTTGATTGAAGAAATTTTCATCTTTTCTACACAAATTATGATCAATTCTATCTCCATCTCGATCCCCCAAAAATCTCTAGGATCGCCTCTAGGCCACCTTTCATGCCTATCTCCTCTATTCTTCATCCTACCAACGTCAGGCATCAAGATTTGGTCATCCTCATTCTCTCACTCTTTATTTCATTCTCATCATCAATTTCAGCCCTAGAATCACACTTATCCTTCCTCCTAGCTTTAGAAACTCTTTTGGATGGTCCCGTTTGTAAGTTTACAATCATCGTAGCCTGTGCATATCCTTCCTCTCCCTAATTTCTCCAACTAATATTCATCCTCTCAAATTATTGTTGCATAGGCTTCAACATGAAGAATTGGTTGTTCTCCTCCCTAGATGTAGATTCCTCTTTTTTAGACATCTTAATAACGAAAAAAATATTAATCCTCGTATATATATATATATATATATATATATATATATATGATTTTTACGTTTTAGTGCATTCACATACAGATTGAAGAATTTTTAATATTATTTAATTAAATATTAATAAATGAATTTGTTATTATGGTCATTGACTATCGATGGTCAATAGTCAATGGCCACTCTAACTAAACTTTAACTCTGGATCCGTCACTGCATGTGGAGAAGTCTTTTTGTGCCAAAATTCAACATCTCCAAGGCCAACTACAGCTAGTCTGCTTGCTCCACTATAAGAGCAATATAACCTCGCTAAAAGAAAATTGAAATGGTGCTCAAGTCCATTTTTGAAATACAATTAATTGACCACTAACTTGATCTTATACGAAATGAAAATGAATTTTGGTTCAAATCTTCAAGAGTTGAGAAAAAAAAAATTTAAAAAAATACGTGTCATTGAATCTTAAAATTGAAAGCGTCCATCAAAAGGGAAAATGATGACATGCGAGAGTTAGCATGCATCAAAAGATGAAATTAAATACGCGGAATAATAATAATAATTGAGATTCATAATTTCCATGGTGAAAATATAATTTATTCAAAAGCTGAGGGCCCGGGGTGAAAAGTAATATTTCTCTAGGTTGGGGTGTGAAATCAATTTAATTTAAAGTTTAGGGGCTAGTTAATAGAACATAATATTGATTCTCTCTAGCTGTTTATGTACGCATTGGCGGCGAGTTGGGTTTTCACTTTTCGGATAGAATCCGTAAACCATCGGAAATACTAAGGTTTCCTTCCCTATCTTTGCGATTTTTATTTTTTTTTAATATTCATTGGCAAATTGCTAATTACTATTACTGTTAGGCTGTTATAGAGGTTTTTTTTTTTTTTTTCCCCGTATTAGGTTATCCATGTCATATTCTGATAAATTTTGTGGATTTGGTTTAGCGTATTTTGCTGCTGCAAAGATGGTGGAAACCCTTTTTGAAGATATATTTCGAGTTGAAGGACTGAATCCAGATGGTAAAAAATTTGAGAAAGGTACAACATCTCATATTTCATCCATAACCATATATAATTACAGTGTTCAGTTCCTCTTAAACAGTTAGCGCTCGTTTTCGAGTGTATGTACAGTATGGAGAGAAATAACTTTGGTGATTTTTATGGAGCAAAAATAGTGGGCTTCATGGATAGAGATTGTTTATTAAGATTTTGATTTTATAGATGCAGAAAATGTATTAAAAGGAGCCATGGGAGAATAAATAAAAATGGTTGAGCACATGAATGGTGGTTAGGAGTCTCACATACAAGTTTAATTATAGTTTACTAATGAGTTTGGGCAGATATTTTCAAAGCTGAAAATTTAGGCTATTTTATTTTCTATCATCTTGGACGTATAACATTTATTTGATTCTAAATTAATTTTCAGAAAATCCCACTGCCATGATATTGATTTTAATTGATAGCACCAAAACAAAATTATTGAGATGAAGGCTGCCAATAGAGCTAACTAACTACTGCATTGAGCCTTTCCCCTAAATTTTAATTATTCAAGTTTTGACCAGGAAATTTTCTCGATGGTCTTCTTTCTTCCTTAGGAAGTCGGAATTTTCTTGAAAACATTTGTTCAGTTGATAGCTTGTTTCTGTTCCAGAAAGTATTGTTGGTTGTTGAATTGTGTTTTATTGGCATAAGGTACCGATGTAGCTCCTCTAGTGCTTTTAGTGGAAATTCAGTTGTCTGTTAAAAATCTAAACGGAAGAGCTCTAGATCTCTACGGCACAATTTAACAAGTTCACCTTTCATCATAGTGTAATATTAATCGTGTGGACCAACACAAGCTATCAATATGCAAAATAAGGTGATTGCATGAAGAAGTTCCATTATATGATACCATGATGTAGTGATGCTAGTTAAAACTCACTCTAGGCTGATACATAAAAAATTAGAGGAATAAATGGAAGCAATAGATACCTGGCTTTCTTAAAGAGGTCAAATGCTGGTTGAAGAGAGGCATCAACCTTGTAATGTGTGGAATATGATGTTATTACCTTGAGTTTCATCAGTACTTTCTAGTCTTCAGTGATGTATGGCTGCTGCTTAAAATTTGACATGTATTTTATCCCCTGTTTGAACCCCAATATTTTGAATAGATTTTCTAAATAGTGAATTTTTTTGGAGAATGTGTGATTAAAAAGTGAGAAAAAGTTTTGGGTTTACGTCCAAATTTTATTTCTTCATTATTTATTTATTTATTTATTTATTTATTTGATTTTTTTTGGGGAAAGTGTGCGGTTGAAATTGATTTTGGGAAAAATGACTTTTAAATAATGGGGCTCAAACAGGGGCTTACACATTTTCAAGTTAGATCATACTTGTAACATCATAATGTAATCTTCAGTGACTCGAATAACGGCGAAGAGTGATCAATTTGATATGCTCATGGTCCTTGATATCAACTCTGATATCTATCCTATGCACGTTGGAGAGAAGTTCATGATGGTATTAGCATCCACTCTGAACTTGGATGGGACGCCAGACAGTGGTTATTTCAATCCGGTAATCTTTCTCAGATTATTGTAGCTTTCTGCAATTTGCAGTCAAGCTAATTGCAGAAAGCTACGATTTATAGTGCTTCATCTCAAATCATGGAAGTAATTTATTTGCCTTTCTTGTCAATACCGAAGCTATCATGTGCTAACATACATTTAAATTTTGTATACCTGGTATTTTATACTGTGACCTTCTATAAAATGTTGATGAGTCTATTATTCATTAAGAATATTGAACAATTATTGACCCTTGGTCATGATTAGAGCTATAAAAGGGCTTGGGCAGTCTAGTACCTGCTGTAGGTTTGCTAGTGTAAAGCTTGTTCTAGATCTGTGATAGAGTAAAAAGAGCTAAATTTGAACAAAATTATTTCTTGAAACATTTGATCTCATTCTCAGTGGAGCTATCAAGCACCAAATCTAGTTTGATTTAACCATGTTATTTGAGCTTTGACATGTTTCATATTTCCAAAAGGTTAGTTATCTTTGCTCAGATAAATAAATTTGTCAAGTTAGAGCACTTTTTTAGGCTTGTTTATTTTACCAATTTTGCCTTGAGAAGCCTGAAGCTCAACTTGAGCTGACTCATTTGCACCCTACGTACGGTTGATAGTCTCAGTCTTGCTCTGCAATCTAATCAAACTTGTGGTTGTCAAGATGCTTAAAGGAAATATTATCTTACTTTGTCCAGAATCTCCAGATTACTTACACAGAAGATTTGTTATCCATACCAGAATTTATTTCAATTATTTTTTGTTTTGTCTATAAAACCCAGACTACATTCTTCACTTTAACCTTAACTACTGAGCAGACTTATCTTTACATGAAAGGAAAATAGAAAAGATATGCTCAATGAGATGGAGAGGAGATAAACACATCAGGTGGTCGAGTTTTTTATGTATACATTTCGCTAAAGTTAGCCTCATACGTGTTGCTTCTCTCTGGCAATTCTTTCTTTCATAATTTAATTAAATAATGTATATGACAGCATCAAATTAAGAAATGTGTTTTTGACATGGAAGTCACTTTGATAAACTGATGTCCAATCTTCAATTTTAATAAATGATCCCATATGAGCACTAAAACCAATATCCATTTTAACTCTGAAGCTTCAACATTGAAGCGATTCCACTGCGTTTTTATGAAGATGAAGTTTTATTGACCATTGCACAATGTTAAATGTAGTGATTGCATCCGAACTCTTTTTCCAAGTATGAGAATGCCAGTAATTTTTTTTGCATATACTTGGTGGAAAACCTTTAACTTTATTGAGTAGACCTGCTAAGTCTTTCTAGAAAAGAACCTGAATGGCTATCCTCCCAATCCAGTCACTAAAAAATAGCTAATAGGAACTTCCTCTTTTAGTCCAGCTCCCTTTGCATCTACGCAAGGAAATCTTTTAACGAAGTCTGCCAAGGGACAGTAAAACAGTAAAAGAGGTCAGCTAAAAGAATTTCAGGACATTAACTAGAAAGTGACCGAGAAACCTCTTTTGATTTCACTAGTATGAGATTTAGCAAGTGCAGTGTTAGGGTCTTTCGCTACATGATGAATGATGTAAAAGAAACTTCCTCTGCTGGTCCCTTTTGCTTCTCCAGTAAAGGAACCATGACATTAGATGTAAAGAGAAAGTTAATGTAAGAGAGTTTGTCTAAATGGAATATTGGGAATTGAAACATTTATCCGAAAGCAAGTGACCTAGATAACCTTTTTCCAATTTTACGAGTGAGAGATTTAACGAGGGCAAGACTAGGGAATTGCTGTTCATAATAGGTTTGTATTGACGAATTGCAACTGCTGTTCACGAAACATCCAAATTGAGGTCCCACGGTTTCATTGATGATATGGTTTTACTTGATAAGATTACGAGGGGTTTATATTTTAAGTTTGAACTTTGTTGGAGTACTTTGAAATTCAAGGATATTAATTATTAGGTAAAGGATAATTAGAACAAATTAGACAGAAGGACATTTTAGTTATGGTAAGTATAAGGACGATGTAGATTCAGAATATAAGATCTTTCTCTCCCTAGTAGAGATTGATTAGATATATAGGTAAAATATTTTAGGAAGTTTTTAAAGAGAATATGATGTATAGTTTGGTTGAAAGAGAATTGCTATAGGGATTTGATTCCTAGGAAGTTAGAAAGGAAGTTCTTTGGAGCAACTATTGATTAGTTAAATAATTCAATCAAATTTAGCTATTTTGTTGTTTGAAGCAAGAAGTTTTGCACAAATACTAAAACAAGTGACAATAACGATGGTTGCAGTTCTATTTTATGTGCTCGATTCATTATCTTGTACTTCAGGCCGTTGATGGTAGTCATGCTCAAAATTATCAAGTGACTATCTCTTTAATCTGGTTTCAGGGTAACAGGAAATCACTTGCGGACAAATTTGATTATGTCATGCAAGGGAAACTATACAGAATCTCAGAGGAAAGCTCACACAAGCAAGTTAAAGCGTATGTTCAAATACCTTTGACTCATTTATCCGATATGTTTACAACTTAATTCTACATTTAAATGGGAAGTCTGACTTACAATCATTTATGTATTAACCTACCGTTCGAGATTCAACAAAATGGTGTTCCTCACATCAGGGGGGGAGGTTGGGAGGGACAAGGGGAGTTTTACATTTTTTTATCAAAGATTTTATGGTCACAAGTACCATGTTTTTCATTGTTGTTTTCAGGGACATGTATGTTTCGTTTGGTGGACTTCTTATGATGCTTAAAGGGGACCCTTCAATTGCAGCAAGATTCGAGCTCGACCAAAGACTGTTTATTCTCATAAGGAAGGTTTGAAATCCGATTCCAACTTAAGCAAAGAATTTACTAGTCGACTATAACGTACTGCTAGAAATTCATCTATGTATTTCGTTGATGCCTGCTGAGACGACTGAGACGACGAATATAGTTCCTTTAAAGAAATTTAAATATGTTTGGTAGCGAAATCTCTTCTAAGTTGTTGCTCTAAGTTGACAATGTGCTATCCATATCTTATAGGGCGTTGTTTATTTCGCCCCTTTTTTTCTAATGCATGTTATTTATTCTCCTTACTACACGGTCTTGATATTAAATTGACATCTTTTTTTTTATTTTTTACTTTTTTTTCCCCATGATGTTACATTGAAGTGAATGGTACCAAAGAAAAACTGCATCTACTTATTTTTGTGACGAAATGACTATTATCCTAACAAAATGTACATTAAATATTATATTTACAAGTTCGTACTCGTAAAATGAGTAAAGTAGGGATGTGCTCCGTAACTTTTGATCTGTTGTAGTGATGAATTTTCAACCTTCACAAGTTAGATTATAGGTCCCAAATCTCTTTAAATATGTCCCCACGTGAGTGAATCGACAATGTAGATACTAAATAGTGAATTTTAAATAAGTTAAAGGAATACACACAGTAGTGAAGTCACTATGGGACCCACCTCCAAGTGATTGTCATGTAGAACATTTGTGAAATTTTTTCCTGTACACGGGGAATAATTCTATTACTTTACATCAAATTAGGTTTAGCATTTAGATTGATCATTTTTGTGTCATGTGGATCTAAATTCACATATTTGAAAGTGTGATCATAATTGAGCATGATAGGTTAGGGAGGGTTATTTTAATATTCTTTTATAAATTTTTTTAATTAATGTTGAAAAATTTTAGCACCACAAAAAAAGTATTAAAAGCAAAAGAAATACCAGCAAAATTTTGATATAACTTTGAAATTTCAATAACAAACAAACGGGGTGCGGTCAAAACTTTTGCGAGATCTTCACAATGGTCAAAGGGAAAATAATCAAGAAAAGTTCCCGTGATTAGCGTAGAAATATCTTTTTTTTTTCTTTTTAATATTCTTTATTACATTTTTATCATATTTTTTTTATCGACAATTTTTTTAATCGTATATTTTCTTTCTACCATTAGTTGGTTTAATCGACATAAAATTATTTTTTGTACAATTGAGATTGACAATGCACTCACAGGAGGGGGCACCAACGATTTTTTTATTCAACGTGGGCCCCCTTCTATGTGTCTAATTGTCAATGGGGTTGTCAACTTTGATTGTACACATAACACAATTGAATCACACCCAAATCGGGGTCACCACCACCTAGGACATAATCCGAATCCCATGACACCTTCTAAATTTCTATTTGACCCTTAATTTTTAAAATTTATTTTAATTACACGATCTTTCAATAAAATAATTTTAGATGTATTTTTTACCAATAAAATTCTACTATTAGCGATAAACTTCCAAGTTCAATGTAAAGATTTTGGCTAGCCGGTCAATTCAAAATTTCCTAATATTAGACTTGGACAAAATATCATCTCATGTTCCAAAACTACCTTTTCCCATTCAAAGTCCAACAATGACATATCTGCATTCCACATGTAGTAATTGATGAGGTCATTTTTGGAATTTCACAATACTTGAAGCTCATACTTGTTGACATATTCCAAATACATGTAAAATATATCATATGGCATGACTTATTCCAACTTGTGAATTGAGTTGGTCAACACGTAACATTTGATTCAACTCAAAAAATGCCACCCACTCCCAATATAAATACACTATGAATCCATGCATAGTTTGCCACACTCAATACAAAGCTTGAAACACAATATTCTTTTTATTCTCTCAATCTCCTTTAGAAGAACCCTTGCTTTCTTTCACAGGCATTTAACATCAATTTTCAAAGATGAATTCTAGAAGTGTGTCTACTTTCTTGATAATTTTCGTGATTTTTGTTGCTATCACTAGTCAGATTCAAGTCGAGGGAGCAAGGATTTTGTCTGAGGATTTTTCGAGTTCAAATCACCTTGCTAAGTTCCCGATAATATATGAGAAGGCAAAAGATACCATGTCATTTTGGCTCGAGAAATTGGCATCTGGACCTAGCCCTAAAGGACCCGGGCACTAAGTTGAAGAACTTTTTTGGGTCGTCTTAGACATGACATGACATAAAGAGAAAAAATATGTCAACATAGATATTAATGTTTGTAGCTAGGGCATATGATTCTTTATTTTCTTTCACTTATTCCATTCATCAATTTTTTTCTTTCTTTTTTAGTTTTGTCATTGACACAACCAAAATATAGAAATGTATACGAATTCATAGAATTTTATTGGCTTTATCGCATGTTCGATGCTTACGCTCTAACTATATTTTAATCATGTTGCTTGGAAAATAAATAAGTTTTTCCCCTTTCTCGAGGGCTACGTAATTTGAATTCACTATTGTTGCGGAGGTGATGGATAGGTAGGCTCATGGTCTGTATAATTCTAATCGCTTTTGTCTTCAAACTTATGGTAAGTTTTCATTGTGGAAACCAACTTTGTCAAACATGTCCAACTTTGTCAATACAGTGACATGTTTGACAAATAATACGATATACTAAGATAAAAAAAAATTCGAACTTTTTTTAAAAATATTATTAAGTAGAATAATGTTATTTGCAGTTACTAACTATCGTAGTCGCCTTATGTAGCACACATGTGACAATTAGTGATTTGATATATAAAGTAAGACAAAACTACCAAATTAATACATCAAATTGCAAACCAGTGGAACCATCATGTAGGATGCCACGTAGGGACAACTACCGTAATGAGCAACTATGAATAGTATTACTCTATTAAATAATATTTAACTCACGTTTTGTTTGGCGAAATCCATTGCCTAGGTTCGTTAGGACAATGGTCGCTAACCTACTGCTAGAGGAGACATGGAAAAAAAATGGAAAGGTGCATCATACTGGTCTAAGTTGAGCACGAGCCGCTTCATCTTTTCCATTTGAATGAAATATAGGGAAATTCACACCTAGGTCCCCAAAACATTCCCTTTTCTTCGACTTGGGTCTCCATTCTTTAATTTTTGGTAGATGGGTCCGCAAACTGATGCGAACTCGTGAGCAATGAACACTCACGAACCCACAACGAGATTGCCACTGTTCCCAAGAACGCCAATAATCGCCGGTTTTGAATTTAATCCCTAAACAATGAAGTCGGCAACCGTAGATATATTAAATCTCCGACCTCCTAATCACAAGGCTTAAGAATCTCACCCGGATAATTGTGAACGCCACAAAATTTGTTAAATCTTAATAAGTTCGGTAAAGTGAAGCATCACGCCTCGAACAAGAGAACTCTCAATTTTCATTCATCATAAAACTTGTTACAATATGAAATAAAGGAACTATTTATACGAAAACTAAAACCCTAGAAAATAATAATAAAAAAAGGAATAAATTCTAAAATCCTAATTTAATAAGGTAAAACACGTCTCCTAATATGGCAAAGATAAGTCTTCTAGTCAAACTTGGAAACTCACAAATTTCTGGCTCAGAATTAACTGTGCGACCGCATGAAGGTACTGCTTTGCGGTCACATTACTATTTAGTTTGGCTCCAACTTCGACTTCATTCACAAGATGTTCCACATTGATTTAGACATTGGCCCCAATATCAAACTTGCACTTTGGATCATCGACTTCGACCTCATGTACTCCGTGGCTCAGGCTATTGATTGTATTGCTCGAATCAACCCCATTTGGCTCGCAATTAAGCTTGAATTTTGATTTTAACCCTTTGACCGCAATCAACAAATTCTCGATTGATTCGGGCATTCTCCAGATCACATCACAAACTATCATAAGTTGCTACATGCCAAGACAAATGTAAGGAAACCATCCAAAATTTCGTCAAATCTTCACTTGCAATGCACGTGACCCATTGAAATGAGGATATTTTGGTATACCTATTAAATAAGGTGCATACTCCCAAACGATCACTCCTCTCTCAAATTTCTGTGCAACTGTTGGTTGCAAACTCTTTTGCTTACTCATCGTTCAATGTTGTTCAAAAATTTCTCAAGTGTAACAACTAAATCTATTGATAACCATGAAACGATGAAGGTATTTTGGATTTATAGAAGACGAATTCTATAAGTGCGCCCTCTTTGTTGAAATTTTAGTGATTTTTGTTGGTATCAAGAGTCAAATCAAAACCAAGGGAGCAATTATTTTGCCAGAGAAACTTTCGAGTTCGAATCACAAAGTTACATCTCAGACAATGTGACAGAAGACAAAATGCACAATGTTATTTGGCTCGAGAGATTTGCATCTGTACCTAGCCTTAAAGGACCCAAGCCACTGAGTTGAAAATTTTCTTCTGATCATTGTTCGGTCAAATCCTGCAAGATATCACATGTTCGTTAAAAAGTAATTGTACAAAATGAGTCAAGAGTATCTTTCCCACAAAAATTTAGAATCAATTTTATGTTTGGTCAATTCGAGCTTAAAGACGAGTAAACACACAATCGAATGTTCGATAAGACTAACTATAAGTCTAACTAATTATCCTACTACTCACTATCTAAATGGGAATGAGATTGACCGAAATGAGATTTATACGAAAAAACGTGCTAAAATATTTGACTCCACCATCAGTATCCATTACCTCTCATCTTCGATCTTTTAACGCCAATTTATTTACTTTGACAATCGAATCATCAATAATCATATACTATCTAACAATATCTCCCAAGTGGAGTTAAATATATTTCTAGAATATATAGAAACACATTTCAACAACAAGATTACCTAAATAGATTGCTTAAGGCATAAGCAATTGTCCCTAACATCTATGACCTTATGTTGATTATCAAGTATGAATTGAACTTAATTTGAACCTCGAGAAAACAAAATGAGTTGCATATATACATTCAAAAGGTGATCAATCATTCAATGCGAATTGAAAACATGATATCAATTCAACAAACAAAAGTTAATAAATAAAATAGAAGTCTTGAATTAAAATAGATAACTAAGGTTTATGTGTTGTGTCAAAAATAATCTTAATAGATAGAACCACTGTTCAAAATGAACTCAACAACTCACCTCGGATGTCCATGCATTATAAATATTCATACCTGGGCTTGAGTGACTATTATTATGCCTCTTCTAATGAGGCTCTAGAGAATGCACGAGGCATCACTATCCTACTTGGTCGAACTAAAGCCCAACATAAGGTTACCAAAGTGATGTACCACTTCCTTCATAGTGCCAGAAGAGACCGACCCTCAATGGACGAGGTGAGTCCCATCCAGCTAGCAATCATAAACGGCCCACACTCCATGTCATAAAAAATTGAACCGAAGTTATAGGTAAAGACGATGAAACGATACTTCAATTGAAGCATCACGTGTAAGTAGAAGCTCATAGTCGAAGCGAGGTGTCACCTACTGTAAAACAACCATAGAGAGGTGATCTACTGCTTTAGTCGAACCACTATGTAAGTAACCCAAGCCCCCATTATCGAAGTTGAAGCCTCCTAACGATCCAGGAAAAGATCTCCATCGCCTCAACCGAAGTGTCATATGAAAGGCCGAAGCTTCCAAACCACTAAGGAACATTTTTCATAGCCAATTCTCCCACAAGATCTTTTGCACCAAGATCTTATACAAATGATTGATGTGACTTCTTCCAGTAATATAAGGTCGAGTCTTTTTTGCCTACATCCTAAAGGTACACAGACCTAGGCCATAGGGTGGCTACCTTTTCAAAATGCATTAAATGTCACCAGTCCTATGATGTGTAACGCAACGCCTATAATGGGACACTTTGAACATTAGGATGAAGCCACATGCTTCTTTATCCAATGATCACCACTTTAGTAATACCACTATAAAAGCTCACAATCAATGCTATCTCAAAGGTAATGCAACTTTTGCTCCTAAATTGTAAGTTCGCTCTCTATATATCTATTCTCGATATTCATACACTTTTGTGACTTGTTCCTAAAAGCTCGTCCCATTATATATATTTCTTTTCGTCGACTGACTTAATCATTCGGAGTGTTCATGATCATCGCCTACACCATCAAAGAAGGCCACGGGTAACTAATGATTTGTCCAAGTGTGTAGGAAAGGAGTTTAGGTGGATGCAAGTAGGCTCAAGATCTGTTGAACACATTGAATATACATTTTTGGAACTCAACAGTTTACATCATCGTCCGAGGCACAAAATGTTTAACCTATAATTATAACAATATAAAACACAAAGTCAATTGACAGCCTGTCAGGTAGGAATTCTCATTTTAATTTGTAGAGAAATTGTGACCGTTGCTTTTCAGTTTGACATGCATTTATGGTAAGAAATAAGAGATGGTAGTCACAATGTTTGACCAATTTAGCGTAGAATGACCATTTTGCCCTAAACAGTTAAATCATTGTTTATGATGAATAGGCAATTTAGATATTTCACTGGTAAATCTTCAAACATTGCTGTCAACGTGGGTCCCATATGCCAGTGGGTAATGATCGGATAATTGTTCAAAATCAACAAAAAAGCACTACTAGACAATCCCTGAATATTTATCGACCCAAAAATCGAGTTGCAAGAGAAGGTTAAAGACAAATTTCGTCTCCTTTAAATTCTTCAATGGAGTTTTTAATAAATTCGAACTTTTCCTTGCTTAAAGCCTTCAATCTAGGTCTGGGCATCAGGTGGGTCGGTCTAGTTATTTCAATACCCAGAACCACCCATTATGTTTCGGGTATATCGCAAATAAAACCATTCAGGTTTTTGTAAATATTGGAACCAAACCCAAACTCGAACCGTCGGCTTCAATTCGGTTTCGGTTCTACCCATAACATTTTTATATATAGTTATTTAATAAATATTTCACATAGACCTCTTTGGTACATATATTTAATAAGCCGCTACTCAAAAATATGTGCAATGGAGAAAATCTAGTTAAGGCCCCGTTTGATCCACATTTTTAAACATTGATTTGATATCATTTCAACCACACATTCTTCAATAAATTAATATTACCTGCAAATCTAAAACTTTTTCTTATTCTTTAACAACACACTTTCCATCAATATACTATTTAAAAATACATTCTTATAAAAATAATGTGGCTCAAATAAGGTATAAAAACTTCAAAAAGTATAAAACATTGGATACTAAAAGTCACAAAAATAGGAGAAAATAAAAAAAAATTCAAAAATGAAATTATAATTTTAGAAAAAATTGCTTTACTCAATAAATCTTATTCGATCTCTAAGAAATGCATACTAGACATATAATTTAATTATGAACAATGCTTGAATTCTTCTACTTGTAAAACGAACTAATATAAAAAATACTAATTGAATACATAGCTAAAATAGTATTAAAAAATTACGGTCCAAATATTGAACTCACTATGTTTGAATAAAAAAATAAATATTTAAAAAGAGAACCACGAATTCAAGATAATAAAAAGGTACAACACAGTGTGAGCAATGAGTATATCAAATACAATTGCCATGCATTATGAAAAAATAAAAAATCACTTAAGTTATTAATAATACAAGACAGTAAAAAGCTTGAATTGCAAAAAAAATGAACGTTTTGATTCATCAACTTATATTACAATTTGTTTGAAATTTTTGATATATATAAAACTCATATTGTAAACATTAACATATAATAACCTCTGAAATGATGTAAAAAAGTAAGAATCAATCTGTATTTTTTAGAGTTAGAGTTAGAGTTTGAAGCTTTAGACTAATTTCTATCAAAATTAGGATTTTTAGGTTTTATATGTTATTTTTCCAGCCAATAAATTATAAATAATTTTTTTTTGTTTTTTTTTTTTATAAAAATCGGTTCCATTCGAGTACCCACATTCTAGTTCAGGAACTAATAACTGAACTGAACTCAATCGATTCTCGGTTATCAGTTCCGGTACCTAATTTATTTTTTCGAGAACCAGACCGGAACCTTCGATTCTAGTTCGATTTCAGTTCCGGTTAAAATGCCCAGACCTACTTCAATCATTCATGAGTCACAAATCTTCAATTTGTGATGTACTTTGTGTAATTTCTATTCCTAGCTCTATTCTCCACATTACAAGATGAAGAACCATCAATTTGGTCTCTAGAATTAGGTTAAGATCCTGTCAATTGAATTCCTAAATGAGGTTGATTTTAAAAAGTAAACAAAATATGTACTGACGGGATCACAAGGTGTTCCACTTTGATCCTCTCCACTTTGGTACCTTGATTCACTTTCCATGTAGCTCAAGTCGCTTCTAATTGCATATGAAGTCCTTCATCTTTTCAATATTACCACTTTCATCTCCCATATTCCATAATTTATAGGATTTAAGTTCTTTTAATTTATTTTCACTCATTTTCTCCGAAAGTCGTTCAATATCAAGTTTCTCCTAAAATGTGCTATACAAATAAAATTAAGTATCGATTCCACAAAGCACTCCCAAATGTCCACTTTAAGCTAACTAAATAAATGTAAAATTTATGATCATTAGTCGTCTAAGTTATGAAATGATAAGGAGAGCAAAACATGGCAGCAATGAATATTGTTTATACCTACTGCTACCAAATCTTTATTATTATTTTTTCTTTCACTTATTCCATTCATTCATTCTTTATTTATTTAATTTTTTCTTTATCGGTGACACGAGTAACAATGAAAACATGTGAATGGTAAAAAATAATAAAAATAATAAAAAAAATTATTGCCTTTCTAATGCGTTCAACTAGTGAGCTATATTAATTTGCTAGTATTGTGAATTTTTCAATATGTTGTATAAATACTTAATTAAGCCTCTATTTGGTAGAGATTTTTTCTAAAATATATTGTGGAAAAAAGTGAATTTAATTGAAAAATGTGCAGTTAAAAATCGAAAAAAAATTATAATTTAAGTGTAAAATCATTTTATTTGAAAGATGTTTGAAATGAGATTGAGATAGAATGAATTTTAATAAATGATGAGCAAACCAAATTTAAATATTTTTTGCATTCATTTTCCTTCTCGGGTCACATTTGGCATTTGTTAATTATTTAAAGGCCATGCAGTTTGGAATTTTGACCAAAATTATATGACTTGACTATGAGATAGAGACAAAATACGTCACATGCATTTATTGTGTGCATACTAATAAAATTAGTAGGTGAATAGAATATCCATTAATAATTTCTAATTTTGGTAAATTTGAAAACTTATTAATAACCAATTAATTGTTCAAATAATTAATTTATTTTTGGACACCTATTTACTTTGGAAAATAAGGAATTTTAAATATCCTTCTATCATTTGTGGCGGTACTGGTAGCGCAAGATCAATCACTACTATGTTCGTTATTTTAAAATTATAGACGTAATAAGGTAGTTTAGTGAGTCGGTTTGTAGCTCACCTCAGACCTTGCTTTTAAATTTAATCCAATTTATAGTTGATAGTCAATGCCGTGTAATTAATACTTTGATTGATATGACTAACTGTGCTAACTTTGTTACAATATTTATGCATCAACATAATACTCATAATATCGATATGGACTGAGATGCTATTGAAGCTCCATCTACAAATATAATTGAGCATTTATTATACAACATTAATGTTGGTCTAACATAAACTGTTAACGGATCTTACTCTGAGAAATATTTATCATTTGAAAAAGAAAATCGAAATCTTTATTTAAAGAAATGTGCTGCGAATGGACATATGTATATTCTATATTGCCTAATTCGTTTGGCAAATTTATAAATCAAGTTATAAAGAGGAATACGAGTAGGTTCGATGAAATGTGTGTATAATAATAGATAGTAGTTATGAATATAGTGTAAATAAATAGAGTGCTTTGTTCAGCTCTAATGTTCACTTTTCTTAAATGAAAACTTCTTTTTGTCTAATTTAGCCATGATTCCATAAAATGTTTTGAGATTATACATTTTATTGGATCCACATTTTTTTTTAAAAATCACCAACATATAATCGTAAAAAGCTTAGTCAAGAGGGACTTAAACAAGAGTATAAATCAAGCAACAAAAAGAAAGTCGAACATCAAGATTTTATTCCGGCAAACGTAAAAACTAACACCATATTTGGTACACCCAAAAACTCAAAAATCGCAAATAAAATTTGTCTTCACCAACGTTTGACACGCCCAACAAACATCATCCAAGCTAAAAACTCATCATTTCCTCAACTCCTAACACCTAATATTATTGCCAGGATCAACACCAAGTTTATCACAATATTCCCTATAATACTTCACACGAGCGTTAACAGTGTTTGGATTTGCACCATCACATTCAAGATCGCCATTAACTGTACGAATTGTACCCCCAAAACCCTGTCCAGAAGTTATGTGATTGAGTTCGTCGACTATCTAAATAAACAATTCTTATTTTCATTATCGTGAGTCGAAAAACACTTAAATGGTAAAATTTTAATAAATATTTAATGTATTGCATTGAAAACGAATTATTATTAGTTCAGTAGATAAAGAAAATAGAGAACCCTACGTGCGGTTCTTGAACATTTTAGAGAACCGTACGTGCGGTTCTCATCGAATGAGAACCGTACGTGGGGTTCTCTTCGAAAGAGAACCGTACGTGGGGTTCTTGTGAATATTTACACTAAAGAAAAATGGAAAATGGAGAAGGCTATGGAAACAACGAGAACCATACGTGCGGTTCTCTTTGGCATTTTCTAGAATTTCAATTTTGCTTGATTAAAAATGTAAGATGGAGAACCCTACGTGCGGTTCTTAAACATTTTAAAAAAAAAAAAAAAAAAAAGGAAAATGGAGAAGGTTCTCGAAACAATTTAAAATAAAGAAAAATTGAACGTAGAGAACCGCACGTGCGGTTCTCTAGTCAACAACCTTATCACTAATGAGATTTTTGTCAGACAGGCGACCCCTTTATTGAAAAAAAACCCTACTTGCTCTTTTGTTTTCAGCTTCGCCGTCTTCCATACGAAAGAGAAATCTGGTAAGTTTTTCGATTTCTCTCTAATTTTTAGCCTACAAATATGTAAAATATTTTTGTCAGCAAAAGATATATTTTGCCCCTCAAATCTTTTGTTGGGAGAAAATATAAATTTTTGTGGGCACAAATCCTCTAATATTAAAAATTTTGAAGCAACTCGTAGCCCTACAAAATCTCAATTTGTCAACGGAAAATTTGTAGGGAACGTATAAACTTCTTGTAGTGACTATGATTTTCTCCACCAGAATTTTCGTGCGCGTATATATATCAACAATAGCACTCTTTTATTTTCCAGCAGACAACTGGTTCAATTTCCAACAATCAGCTCGTTCTTCAATCGTCTGCTCCTACTGTGCGTGTATGTATATAATCTTTTCAGCCAGCCCCCCAAGGCACATCCAAGTTGGCGGAACAAACACATTGGGGGGCTCTGGAACCAAGCGTGAGGAGTTCGATTCCTGGTGGGAACCTTTGATCCAATAAAGAAGGAATTATTGGTGGATTAATTACCATGGAGGAGGCTTCCTTTGGGGAATGAGTAAAAGTCATGTGGGAACCTGGGAACCAATAATGGCACATCCTACGATTTACCTCCCTGAGCAGCTGAGGGGCCGGAGGTTCAGGGACGAGGATATAGTCTGGCGCAAGTTGGGACACCATATATATATAAATCCAACAGGCAGCTAGTTCAATTTCCAGCAAACAACACGTTCTTCTTCTTCTTTTTTTCATTTCCGTTTTTACTGATGAATATGTTACTACTTGATCTTTTCCATTCGAAATAAAGTAAGATTTTTTTTCCTGTTTTAGTGATTAATCTGGCCGGAAAAAATGGTTTTATGTTGCTTCCTTTATTTATTGCTTTGAGTATAATTTGTGTAATGATTTTCTGGTTCATCAGTTAGTTATATTTTGTGTTTTAGTTGAATCTAGGAAATGTTTAAATTTCCAGTCAAAATTAATAATAATGAGGAAAATTGAAAGCAGTTCTTCACCTTCTGTTTTGACTTTTGCAACCTGCGAATAAGTGACCCAAATTATTCATGATTCTATTTAGTTTGGCATTTGGTGAGTGTGATTACTTGTTTAAAGTTTTTATAGAGATTGTTGAGATATGAAGTATTTAAAACAGGGCCAAGCAATTTGTCTAAACTGTGACAATTGGTAGAGCTCCTTTCTCGTAATTGAGTCGTACAAATCTCTTCATTTTCCAAGTCGATATGATCCAATCGTTCCCTAAACCATTATGGCAAGAAAAATTTTGATTCAAAGGGAAAAATTATTTTGTTGTGAATGAACAAAAAATATAATCTATTTTGTTTGATAGTAATTAATAGTTGCTACATGCATACTTACTCGAGTTGCAGTCTACACTGTCATTTTCATCCAAATAATGGTTCAAGTTGAGGTCCAAGAACCTTATATTCAAAGAAGAGAGAGCAAACCAAATGTGCGTTTACCATCCATAGTATGAACTGCCTTGAATGTATGGTTTTTCAGCTTTCAATATCTTCATTTCCCTTAAATTGCAGCTGCTTCAGGCGACATGACTGTTTGGGTGGTGTTTGTTGGTCGTCAACTTGGGATCTACAACACATGGAGGGAAGCGAAGACCCAAGTTGAAGGGTTTCATAATAATTGACACAAGTCTTATGACAAGAGGGAAGATGCTGAGAACGATTTTCGACCATTTTGCACTGGTGGGCCTTCACCGACGGTAATTTCTCTCTCTTTTTAGTTTATATATTGTTCGCCTTCGCCTTCATTATCTTCTACGGAAAATTTTTGTAGAGAGGGAAAGTATATGCTGTTTTTGTCGACCGTAAGCCTGGAATTTACAGTTCCTGGTACGAAGCAAAGAAGCAGGTCGACGGGTTCCCAAACAACTCTTTTAGGGCTTTTAAAACAAGAGATGATGTGGAGAAGGCTGTTGCAGAATTTGCTTCCTCTAGTAATCAGGTCGTTCAGAATGAAAATGAAGATTTTTTGGATGTTCAATTGGAAATTCAATTGAAGATATCAAATTTAAAACTTTGATGACATTGTTTTTTGTCCTCTTACTTAAAATGTGGATATTTTATGTATTGATTTATAATATCTGTTTTTTGTTCGCATTAGCCTCATGTCCTTATTTTGTTATTTTATTTGAATTACATCAGTATTATTGTAGTTTATTATCAACTAACAAATTTTCCCACATGCTTCCCCTTAATGTACTATGTGGTTTTATATTGAGTGTGAGTTTAGTAGTGTAATTTTCAACAGTTTACAAAAGACTGTTGATTATCCTTGTTGGTAGCATTGATATTTGTCTTCTATTATAAATTCTCTACTTCCAGTGTGCAGAGAGCCGGACATTGATTCTGGGATTCCTTTCAAAGCTGATGCAATCACTGCTAATCCCCCAACATATGGTTAGAATGTCTTTCTCCCCCCTCCCCACTCCCCCCACTTTTCTCTCTCTCCCCACACACACACACACACACACACACACACACACACACTTCTTGTCTCTTTGTGTGATTTTCCATTTTAGATAGTTATATGGATGTCGTCTTGGAATTTTACTTCTTCGATATTTGGGAATATGTGACCTCTATACCTTCTTTAATTCAAATTCTGCACTAGCCCTGGAAGAGTTTGCAAGTATAATTTATGTTGCTTGCATAGTGACCTTCTGCTTTGTCCTTATAATGTTTGCCAAGTTTAACGAGTCCACGTCCAACTCTAATGTTGTTAGTTGCTTTTCTTACGTATATGGAGGCCTTTTTGTAGAGCCTTTACCTCAGCTATGAAGTTATGCAGCTACTCTGGGATTCATGGAAAGCAAAAATTAGCTAGCCATGACTTATCACTATTCCACTTCTTGCTGCTTGTCCTGGTGACGACTTGTAGCATCCGTGTTTAGCCTATTTGATTCTGGGATTCCTTTCAAAGCTGATGCAATCATTGCTAATCCCCCAGCATATGGTTAGAATCTCTCTCTCTCTCCCCCCCACTTTTCTCTCCCCCCCCCCACACACACACTTCTTGTCTCTTTGTGTGATTTTCCATTTTAGATAGTTATATGGATGTCGTCTTGGAATTTTACTTCTTAGATATTTGGGAATATGTGACCTCTATACCTTCTTTAATTCAAATTCTGCACTAGCCCTGGAAGAGTTTGCAAGTATAATTTATACTGCTTGCATAGTGACCTTCTGCTTTGTCCTTATAATGTTTGCCAAGTTTAATGAGTCCACGTCCAACTCTAATGTTGTTAGTTGCTTTTCTTAGGTATATGGAGGCCTTTTTGTAGAGCCTTTACCTTAGCCATGAAGTTATGCAGCTACTCTGGGATTCATGGAAAGCAAAAATCAGCTAGCCAGATGTGGATGTGCTGCAGCCAATGAAGAGTTTCCAGTCCAGTGATCATTTCAGGAGGATATATGGCCTTCCCCAATTTCCAAGATATATACTCTTCCACTTTATGCCTTGCTTGCACTGATCTTTTCCAGTTCAAGTTGATTGTTGTGTGTAGTCATGGCTCAATCTGAGATCTTACAAGTGCTGTTATGCAATACTAACCTAGAGTAGAACTGTTGCAGGGCATACACATGTTGCAGAGGCATTGGAAGTACCAATTCATATATTTTTCACTATGCCATGGTCGCAAGTCTTTTCTGGATCTTTTTACTTGGAAAGTTGTACTCTTTTAATTCGACAAATATATAACTAATTCCTTCATGTTACTCAACTTATTTTCTTGTTAATTAGTGAAACCCAATGATTCCCATTTACATGATACATGTTGAGCCATATCCAAGATTGTAATTATACTTTATGACACATTTATAACTATATTCTCAGTGTTGAGCGTTGCAGATGTGGATGTGTTGTAGCCAATGAAGAGTTTCCAGTCCAGTGATCATTTCAGGAGGATATATGGCCTTCCCCAATTTCCAAGATATATACTCTTCCACTTTATGCCTTGCTTGCACTGATCTTTTCCAGTTCAAGTTGATTGTTGTGTGTAGTCATGGCTCAGTTTGAGATCTTACAAGTGCTGTTATGCAATACTAACCTAGAGTAGAACTCTTGCAGGGCATACACGTTGCAGAGGCATTGGAAGTACCAATTCATATATTTTTCACTATGCCATGGATGTAAGTCTTTTCTGGATCTTTTTACTTGGAAAGTTGTGCTCTTTTAATTCGACAAATATATAACTAATTCCTTCATGTTACTCAACTTATTTTCTTGTTAAATAGTGAAACCCAATGATTCCCATTTACATGATACATATTGAGCCATATCCAAGATTGTAATTATACTTATTGACACATTTATAACTATATTCTCAGTGCTAGCTTTGTTCATGGTTGACAGTGAAATTTTTGATGCCCCATTTTTATCTTTGCCTCACTGGAGGTGGTGATATTTTCTTCACATCAAGCGTTTCTTCAGAAAAGCAGAAGAGAAGAAAGAGAAGACAAGCAGCCATGCTTCGTTTAGAATTAAAATATAGAGCTTTTAAATATTATATAGTTTTTCTGGTGACATTACATTGTAATTAAAATAGTATAGTTTTTCTTCAGTATTATGATTGCTTGCGATGAATAAGTGCACTCAAAATCCGTTCACAATCCTAAAACTCATTGGTTCATTTCCCTCTATCTGAATCACTGATCTCAACTCAAGCGAAAGCATGGAAGAACAAGTTTAAATAAACCCATCTATTTTGATCATAAATTTGTTCAAATGAAATGCTTAGCCAATTCCATGCATCAAATATGTCAAATATGTCGTAGGAAATAGGAAAGTGTTATGGGGACATTTAACTTTGAATCCAAAAATGCGAGCTGCAAGAAATAAATATTTTAAGAATGAGTCCAAGCATATAGTCCAATTGCTCTTAGAATTCAAAATTGCGAGCCAGAAAAAATAAAAATTTTAAGAAAGGTAAAAAGAGATCCACACGTGCAGTTCTTGCACTTCACATCCCTGTCAGTCAGCCTTTGAGCTGTTTGCAGAATGGTTAAAACAAATCTTTCCTCATCAAACGAAGCATTTTCAAAAGACAGAGAACCGGTAAGTTCTTTTGTTTCCCCATTTGGTAAGTTTATTTTGTTTCATTTTTTTTTCTTTTATTGTTTCTCTTCTTCTTCTTCTTCTTCTTCTTCTGTTTCCCCATTTTTGGTAAGTTTATTTTGTTTCCATTTTTTTTTTTTGTTTCTCTTTTTTTTTCTTTCTGATATAATTTTATTATTATTATTATTTTTTTGGTAGACAATGGCTTACGGTTATCTGATCTTGGTGGTCCTCATGGTATCCATCGTCATGATTTCGTCCATTGTACGTGCACTGAAAGAGCAAAGACATATGCTTCCGGTGTCGGCACCTCCTTGTCCAACGCCGCCTTCAACTCCACGTCCGACTCCACCCGTACCTTCACTTCCGCGTCCGACTCTAGAAAAAAATATGTTGTTATTGACAGGTTTGTTGTAGGAGCAGACTTGAAGCTCAATCCTGTATATAAGTAAATTTATATGCAATTGTAGGCTTGAAGGGGGATGAAGATATTTGGCCCAGTTTTTGTTACGAAAAAATGACAAAAACACATTAGATTAATGTGTTTTTGTAGTTTTTTCATTTTGTAGTATTTAACATTGACAGGTTGGTTTGTTTTGTAGTTTTTTGTATTTCCTTTTCAGGCCTGCATGGATTGTTCATTTTGTGGGAATGTTTTTTGTTTATTTATTTGTATTGAGATTATGTATTTTTTGGGTGTTGAAGACCAGTCGATGATGCTGGCTGGTAATGGAGGGAAGGTAGTTGCTAACCATTTCTTTCCATTTCAAAAGCAGGCAATTTCAATTGAGGACACAAATTGTCAATATTGGTTACATAACGTTAAAAAATAATTTTTGGGAAATTGGACCATATGGAAATGGCGATTGACCGAAAAGAGAATAAAGATAGGTTAATTACATTTGTTATTAATTATTTATTGAATTCAAGACTTTTATTATAGAAATTATGTTTTCAACTTTTTTCATCACATTATTGTCATCAAACTTCCATTAATTAACATATCCCATCTTTGACGGTGATTTTCGTAAAAATTATAATAAATACTGTAGTTGAGAAATCATTTTTACTTCATTTTAAAGTACATAAACAAAAAACTTGGACCAATTCATTATCAACAAATAAATATTTTCTACCGAATGTATGCTTCTATTGAAAGTAGGCATTTTAGGTATATGACATGTTCTATATGTTGTGTTGAATAAAACTGTGTTTCCATTATATTCTATTTTGTTTTCAAATGGAAGATTATTGATAAATAATTAATTACACAATTTTTTCCCTTAACTAATTCATAATTTTCAAGAACATTACTAGTAAAAAATATGTTCATAGCTATAAAACATGAAAATAAATTTGTGTAAATTATTGTTAGTTTGGGAGAGGTTTTGAAAGCCTAAAAACTGTTTGAAATGAAAACGCACTTTTTTGTTGGAAAAGTTATTG